TTATTTATTTATTTAGAAGATATGATAACTACTATAATAGTAAGTGACTAATTTAAGTTTTGGTAACATTGCTAGAATGATTTCGCGATCGTTCATGCAAGAACGATAAATTCGATATTGTCCTTGTTAGAACGATAGAATTGAAATCGTTCTTTCTAGAACGATAATTTCACGATCGTTCATGTAAGAACGATAAATTCGAAATCGTCTTTACTAGAACAATGGTATTGAAATTGTTCTTGCTAGAACGATAATTTTAAATCGTTCATGCAAGAACGATAAAAGGAATCGTTCTTGCTAATACGATGGAACCCCGAATCATTCTTGCTAAAACGATAATTTCGCGATCGTTCATGCAAGAACGATAAAATCGGAATTGTTCTTGCTAGAACGATAAAATCGGAATCGTTCTTGCTAGAACGATGGGTTATGAATCGTTTATGCAAGAACGATAAAATTGGAATCTTTCATGCAAATGGAATCATTCTTGCTAGAACGATGGTATCAAAATCGTTCTTGCTAGAACAATAATTTCGAAATCATTCTTGCTAGAACGATGATTTCAGAATCGTTCTTGCTAGAACGATGATTTTGGAATCGTTCATGCTAGAACGATGTTTCGGAATCATTCTTGCTAGAACGATGATTTCGGAATCATTCTTGCTAGAACGATGATATTAAAATCGTTCTTGCTAGAACGATGATATCGAGATCGTTCATGCTAGAACGATGATATCGAAATCGTTCTTGCTAGAACGATGATATCGAAATCGTTCTTGCTAGAACGATGATATCGAAATCGTTCATGCTAGAACGATGGTATCGATATCGTTCTTGCTAGAACGATGATATCAGGAATCGTTCTTGCTAGAACGATGGTATCGAAATCGTTCTTGCTAGAACGATGGTATCGAAATCGTTCTTGCTAGAACGATAATACCCAAAATAGTTTTTGTTAGAACGATAATTTCGGAATCGTTCATGTAAGAACGATAAAATGGAATCGTTCTTGGTAGAACGATAATTTCGCGATCATTCTTGCATGAACGATATATTGGAATCGTTCTTGCTAGAATGATAATTATGAATTCTTTCTTGCAATAACGATAATT